ATTAGGAACATACTTGTATTTGTGGATTTAGAAAACTAGGGGGCACTTTCCTGCTATTTCCTTCCAGCACTTACCTGAGTGAGACCGGTCCTCTTTCTAGATGAGTTGTTTCAACAATGACAGGTGACAAAGTGTGTTGTGGGGAAATTGCAGGAATTTCAGTCAGCTCAAAGCATATGAGAGGAGGGAGCCCTGGTTGTTCTGAAAACCTTTGATGACTGAGCAGGCAAGAAACCTTTTTATTATGTCCACATTCCATGGAGTACCCATGGCATCATCAGGGAAGCAAATTTCCATTTAGTGGATGGCTCCTCTGGGACTGGATCCATGCACCAATGGAGAGTTACTGAAGGAACAAACAAGTCAAGTGTTCCTTCAAGAAACTGGGGTCAGCATAGATGAGTTGGTTGAACGGTAAAAACCAAAAAAGAAGATTACAGCCCTGGCTGAGTCCCCCAAGTAGATGCTTTGAAATCAGTTGGGTCTAAGCAGAGTCCAGACACAGTCTCTAGTCTGGCCCTTACTCGGAATCACTCCAACCTTTGGAAGTAGATCTCAGTGCTGTAACATTAAGCAAAGTGTGACTGCATAGCTAGATCAAACAGGCTGGTGTGTGCACTGTCTCTTTGGTGGCAGCAGACTTGGTAATTACTGTGAGCATCCAGTGGCAGGGGCTGGATACTGCGGGGAGCATTTCAAGGCCTCAGAGGTTGGGATGTAGCCTACACTGAGAAGGTGAGGTCTGCGGAGACCTGGAGGACAGAGGCTGTTGGTTTCCAGGAGCGGAACCACAGCAGACATAGACACAGATTGCTTCACACTAAGGGCAGGCAGTGGCAAGGCATCTCACAGTCTTGAGTCCAAACACCCCCTGTTCCCTGCCCCCTGACTGCCCCCTGGGACCTCCGCCCCTTATCCAACCCCCCAGCCCCGGCCCCCTTACCATGCCGCTCAGAGCTCAAGGGCTGGGCAGCACAGTCCCACAGGCTGTATGTGGCCCATGGGCCATAGTTTGCCCACCTCTGAGCTAGACAGTGCTAATGGCCCATCAGCAAAGAGAATGGATCAGGGAAAAGGTTTATCCTCACCTGGGAATTCTTCAGCCAGCCTATGAATAATGGGCGCTATGACTCAGCAAGGCCATGTGACCAGACCACATGATACTGAACTCCATTTTGGTACCTGTGTTTTTCCACTAACTGGGCTGAGAACTTACATTGAAACAAAGGGTTCCCGCCATATGGAGGTACTTTAAAAGGTGGGGAGTGACATCATGATTCTTCTCACTCCCCCACAACTCAACACTTGAAAGAAGTTCTGGAAGACTAAGGTCTTGGAACAAGGGAGGGGAACCCAAACTGCAAGGCAGATGCAGCTTGTGCCTCAAGAATCTACAAGATCGTTTGTATCATCAGACAGGGTGAGATAATGCTGATTCAAATCCTGTCTAGTTTGTAAAAGGCTTAGTTTGCAGTTTTGTTTATCATAGTAGATTAGGGTTGGAAGAGACCTCAGTGGTATATTAGTCCAACCCCCTGCTCAAAGCAGGACCAACTCCCGACTAAATTATCCCAGCCAGGGCTTTGTCTAGCTGGGCCTTAAAAACTGAGGTAACCCATTCCAGTGCTTCACCACCCTCCTAATGAAATAGTTTTTCCTAATATCCAACGTAGACCTCCCACACTGCAATTTGAGACCATTGCTCCTTCTTCTGTCATCTGCCACCACTATAAACATCCTAGCTCCCTCCTCTTTGGAACCCCTCTTGAGGTAGTTGAAGTCTGCTATCAAATCCGCCCCTCCTGCACTCTTCTCTTCTGCAAACTAAATATGTCTAGTTCCCTCATCGTCTCCTCATAAGTCATGTGCCCCATACCCCTAATCATTTTTGTTGCCCTCCACTGGCCTCTGTACAGATCCCTGTGCAGTGCAAGATGGTATAATTCTGGGTTTATACTTCAATAGGGGTGCAAGGCTGGGGAGCTGGGAAGCTAGCTGGGAGCCCCCTGTTTGTCCATGAGTGGGTTCCATAAAGCATTCAGTTAACTCAGTTGTGAGTGTGGCACCACCTGCTGTAATGATGGGTGATAACAGGGCCTGGAAAGGCTGGCTGAGTCACTAGAAGAGCAGTGTGAGAAAGGCCAACCTAACTAAATTGTTAGGGGGCACAATTCCAACCGCTCCCAGACTGCACCCCAGGGTGACAACCCGTCACAGTCTGAAACCCATTTCTCTTGGCTGCCAGTAGAATGCCCTAACCACCAGGCTATTGGGTGGGACGAGGTCTCTTTCTGGTTTTGTTTGTGTGAGGAAGGGCTGAGCTGGTATGACCCACCTAACGTGGATTACACAAGTACCCATGATAATTCCATTTTAGAGCAGGAATGGCTAGCAGGTCAAGTCTGTTTTGACCATGGAACTCCCACCTGTGGATAATACCACATCAGATAAATATGCAAATTGGGACAGTCGTGGATGTCTGTACCCTGAATTGCTCCAGTTTGGAAGAAAGAAACCACGGTGTAGCAAAGGGACTCAGACTAAAAAAAATCTAGATATTTATAAGAGGACAATTTGAGGGTTATTGAAGACTCCTCATAAATCTAAACACAATCTTCTTATTACAGCAACACACAGGTACTATGCAAACAAACACATAATAGTATTTAACTATTTTCAAATATACAGATTTTTTTCGGTACCAGACCATACACAGGCCACAAATCCTATGCATTTAAAATTAATTTCACCACACCATCCTGAACTGAACAAGCAGCAATGGGCTAGTTCTTTGAATAGTCTGGTGTCCTTATCCTTGGGCTCATCTTCTTGCTGCAATTAGTAAAAGCAGGCCTGTGAGCATCAGTCTTCCCTGTAAACCCATGTGCACTCCCCTCTCCCCTGTGCCAGCTGGCATGAAGAAATCCCTGGGTCACAGATTCTTCCATAGAGAATCCATCAGGTACCGAAGGCAAAGCATGCCCTTTGGCTTGCTGCTCCTGGTACTGACTCATTAAGAGACACCTGAGCCATTGACTTTGGTTCCTCTCAGGGACTGTGGAGTCTGGATAATTCTTTGACATAACAGTCTTTCCTGATCATTGCAGGTCACCAGGCCACACTGATACTATGTCAGATGCTTATCCTGTGGCTAGCGACTTATTCTGCCTGCCGGTATTGCTCTTGCCTTTGCTTCAGCATGAAGACCCTCATCTGGCACCAATGACACCTTCTATATTGTCTGCACTGGGTTGCTTGACCATGGCATCATGTGCCTCTGGTTCAGTACCTCCCCCTTCCACAGCACCGGATCCAGATCCCGACCACCCCATGTTACTGGCAGCAAGGAAGATGCCCATGCTGCCCCCAGTGCTGTGCTCCTGGCATGCATCCTGTTCAAGGTCTCCATGTAACCTTCCAGCATTGCACCACCCTTGTTCTCCAGGTATTCCAAGTCATCACTGGACACTCAAGCTGACTCTTGGGTTTCCCCATACCGAGTGCCTAGACCTTACTCATAGAATCATAGAATCGTAGGACTGGGAGGGAACTCGATAGGTCATCTAGTCCAGTCTCCAGCACTTTGGCAGGACTAAGCATTATCTAGACCATCCCTGTCAGGTGTTTGTCTAACCTGTTCTTAAAAATCTCCAATGACAAATATTTGACAACCTTCCTTCATAATTTGTTCTAGTGGTTAACCACCCTGATAGGAAGTTTTTTCTTAATGTCTAACCTAAATCTCTCTTGCTGAAATGTAAGCCTGTTACTTCTTGTCCTGTCCTCAGTGGTTCCAGAGAACAATTAATCACTTACCTCTTTATAACAACCTTTTACATACTTGAAAACTGTTATCATGTTTCCCCTTCAGTCTTCTCTTCTCCAGACTAAACAAACCCAGTCTTTTTCAACCTTTCCACATAGGTCATGTTTTCTAGACTTTTAGTTATTTTTGTTTCTCTCTTGTGGACTTTCTCCAATTTGATGGAGATGCCTACATGCCTTTGTGAATCTAGTCCAAAGCCTTCCCTGTGAGGAGCCTCAACTGTAGAAGAAGCTCCACCCATCTCTCTTCCTTTTAGATCCAAAATAGCCCTTTTCTGTTGTCCCTCATGGCACATTGCAAGGAACAACTATTTGTGTGTGCTACTGTAGGGAATATGGGTGCGGAACAATGGGGGCTTGATATAGGTTAGATCTTTGTGGGATCTTGATGTTTTGTAGGGCTTGAGTTCTTCAGTCTGTTGGGGGCTGAACTTGTTATTCAACTGTATGTAAAGGATGAAATTTTCAAATATACTTAAGGGTGTCCAATTCTCATTAGCAACCAATGGGATTTGAGTGCGTTACTGCACCAGACACCTTTGAAAATCTCAGACTCCATCTACAGATGCAAATGAAGAAGGCTTCTTAAAAGGGAGGAGTGAATTTTTCCATCAAAACTTTTCTGATGGAAAATCGATTTTTCAACATACTTTTTTTTTTTGACAAAACTAAAATTTTTGTGCTAATTGTCTGGTTTTCTCAAAAAAAAAAAAAATCCACTAGGAAACCACCACCCCTGAAAGAGAAAAATCCTTGGTTCTAGTCAGTACACTTTTGAGTTTTGGCAATTTTCATTTCTTTCCTGATCAATTAAGATTTTCTACTGAAAATTCTGGCAAATGATTTGTTTGTTTCTTTTTGTCATACAAAAAGATTCCCCATCAAATTACAGGATATTGTTTATTTCCACCCAGGCTTCTTATTCCCTAAGGTCAAATTTCTGCTGACAAGTGCACAACTACTGTCAAGGGTGAATACTCTGTAATTTGAAGTCTTTAAACCATGATTTGAGGACTTCAGTTACTCCGCCAGAGGTTGGGGTCTATTACAGGTGTCTATTAGGTGAGGTTTTGTTGCCTGCATTGTGCTGGAGTCAGACAAGATCATCACAATGGTCCCTTGTGACGTTAAAGTCTATGAACTCTCTCTTACTATTAACATCCATTCTCCAATTTAGGAAGGTTATCTATATCCTATTTCCCAGTGCCCAATGCATAGTGATTCCCTAC